GTCCCTGGACAGACCTTTCCCAAGAAGCAATCTGGAAACTTACTTTCTTCCAGAGTGAAGGGAAACAAGGGAAAGGTAACAACAGTGAAGGATCTGAATCTGCTTAAGTGTCACATTCAAGTTCTCCCCACACCCAGGCCAGAGTCCTTCAATGTTCCTGCTTCCCAAATTCTAGAATCAGGAGTGGGAAGATCATCTCCTGTAACAATCACACCAATGAGAAAAGGGCAGACTGTAGCCACCAGGGGAGGAGGGACTAAAATGACTAAAGGAACTAAAGTGGTGTCTCCAAAGCTCAGAGTTAAAGGGCATCTGAAAGAATCTCCACCCTACTCCCAAAAGTGCTCTTGTAATTCCAATTCTCCTTACTTCTCCCTTGGGAACCTGCCACCTTCTCAGTCCAGCCATGGGCTGTAGGGCTTCACATGGCAGGCTGGGAGAAAAGCCTACACTACTGGCATTCCCAGCATTCCTGAGCCACTGTGCCAAAGCAGCCTGGCCAGACCCTTCTCTGCTCAAGCCAAGGGGGCCAGCTAGGAATTTCTTTATAAGAAGCATGGGCACTGCAGCTGAGGTCCCCCCAAACTAACTTTCTGCCAAAGACAAAGACAGTAGATGGCACCTGACAACTGAAGGGAAGCAGCTGGATGAGGCCAACCTACCCGGAAATAATCAGTTTAATTCAAGAATAAAATTTATTCATTGAGGTTTCAGCACATGCCAAGGCAGCCTTACCCATGTGGGGTCTTAGCACTGCCACAGTTCTCATCAATGCTGGAGGGAAAAAGTGATCAAGAATGCCTAAACTTTCACTTGAAGGCCACTCTTGGTAGCTTTCCCTGGCAACTTTGCGAGTGGAGGAATAATGGGACACATGAATTTTGATGGAGCATCGTCCACCCAAGCTGAGGTTTAGCTGACCTGGTTTGATTGCAGAAAGGGGTAGAAAACACCATGAAAATTGAATTGAGGCAGGTAAGTACCACAGAATTCACAAGTCTGTCTTTCCCCAGGCTACTCCCATTAACAATATGGATAAAGATACCATCCACTAGCTCCCTAGCTACTGCTCCAGGAGGGAGAAGACCATTACCGTGGGGATTATCAACACAGTACCATATGTTACAAAATTATAGTCACCAATCTCAAGGGCTATCAGGACAAAATAAGGCAGGTTACAAGTAAGGTGTCTCCTAGTCTGATACAGTTAGGATAGAATGATGCCTACTAGGGAGCAATGGAACTGCTACAGCGAAAAACATATTACCTTCACTACGAGGAAAGGCAACAACCTAGGGCAAGTGGACATAACCACAGGGATGGGGAGGGGAGGGACAGATTTGTTGTCAGCTGAGGCAAAAAGAGGAGAGTTAGAGGTTATACCAGTGTAAGAAGTGGAGTCAGTGAACTGCAAACTATCATTTGGTGACATTCGGAGAGCAAAGAGGGGCTGCATGTGGGATGCCTGGGCAGGGATCCCACAGGTGGTAACATCTAAGTGCAACCTGCGGCGAAGGGTCACCACTGACAACGTGCTGAGCTCCTGGCTAGGTCCTTCAGCAGAGGCCTGGAATCTTAAGAGTTGGGGGTGGGGAGGGGAAAGGGGCATTCCTGGGTGGCACAGTAAAGTTGTGGAGTAGCCAAAAAGGAAACAAAACCATGAACCTTGGGATGTGGGTGGGTTCATAGGAGGGGGCGATCGCGGGGCCACATGTCCAGGTGTCCCTCGCTACCCGGGGTCAACAGCAGAGGTTGTGAGTACACGGCACAAGCCCAAGCTGAAGAAACAAGTGTACCCTTAGAAAAGGCGCTAAGCTTCGAGAGGGGCTTCGGCCTCACTGGTCCTTCGAGAGCAAAGGCTGTGCGGTGTGATTCCGAGCCCTGACAAGGGGCCCCCAGTGCGGGCACGCGAGAGGGTCCTCACCGTGATGTTGCAGTGGATGCGGACGGGATCCCCAGGCACCGACCCCCGAGGGGGCAGATGCGGACCGGGCGCGGCCCCGGCCCCGGCCCCGCCGGCCCCGGCCAGCAGGAACTCGCAGCTCAGCTCGTCCAGGCAGGCGCTGGCAATGCGGAAGCGCTCGTGGCCCCGGTGGAAGATG